CTCATAATGAAAGGAAACAGTAGATACAGGTTGATAAACAGAAAGATATGTAATTTTATTTCTTTATTCCGAGGAATGGACCCCTGACTTTGTAAGATGTTTTAGAGTTCTTCAAAAATCACATTGACTTCACTTAAACCTCCAGAAACATCTTAATTTTATAGATAAATAAATTAAGACCATAGAGAGGAGATAAGTTGACTAAAGACATCCAACACAGAACTAGATTAATCCTTGCACAACTAATCTCAGACTTTCATTCAACCTTTTTATGAAGCTTTAATTTAAAAAAATAAAACTTACAATCTCTTGTCACTTGGGTGATGGCATGAACTGTTGGATATTTTTAATTCTCATGTTTTTCAGAGTCTGCCTACATACAGCCTATAAACTGAAAATCTGTATCAGAACAGTAACAGAGTTGTGCTTCTCTTTCCATGTTTACATACGTTATTCTAATTAATTTTCCTCATTTTTTATGTGAGGAAATTAAAAGCTCCAAATGATAAATGTCTAATGTCAAAGAGCTAAGAAAAGGAAACCACTCAGCTTCAAATAATGTTTCTCGTTATTATGCTGCCTCCCAGTCCTAAGCAGACCAAATGGTTTGTATTCTTCAGTTGAATCTGTTTTAGAGTTCCACAAGTCTAATTAAACACAAATCATCAGTAGTCTCAGGTAAGCCAGATTCTTACGTCCAGACTTACTCCAATAAAGTAATAGATGAATGCCACCATAGAAGATAAAACACATTTTTGATCAATACTCTGTTTATGAAAGAACTGAGAAGGCAACAGGACTTATGAATCTTATATTGTAAAGTTGTTGACTTAATGCTATTTAAACCAAAACTTTCCTTTTGTTTCTGGGTAAGCTAAAGAGGCACACAATCTGAGTCACTACAAATGAGGCCATTTCCTCTTTATCTTAAAGGTTATTTTTATGAGTAAATGGTTCTCAAAGAAGTTCATACTTTCAGAGAGACATTACTCTTAATAATCTTAATAAGTTTAATAATTAGGGTTTAAAAGTACTGTCACATGTCAGAACTATATATTTCTGCTCTTCTAGTGACCATTTGAAATAATAGAACATCCTATTCTCTTAGAAAATAAGAAATTTACTTAATCTGACTGACACCCCCAGTATAGAGAACCGTTATTGCACTGCACATACATGTCATTATTTGATTAACCTCAATAGTAATGAGTTTTATAAATTCTTGAAACCATTCCATGGGGTAGCTAGAATCTACTTGTTTTTCATATCATTGCTATTAATTCCATCTGGCCAAAAGAGTGAAAGTGCCTTATAAACTGATAAAATAGTTTTACCTACTACACATATGAATGTGATGGTACTTAATAAAAATAAAATTCTGGTCTGCTGAATTTGAAAAGAACAATGATTACTACAAACTAAACATTCAGATTTTGCAAGTTTTTACTTTGTTCAAAACACTGTATTTTACGTTGTAGAAAATATTAAAAAAAATAGTCATAATCCTGCTTCTCCAAGAATATACTCTATTTGAGAATTCCTATCAGTAATTTAAATATGAAGAACTATGTTAAATCCTTGATAAAGAATCAGGAGATACTTCAAGAGTTTAGGAAAACCTAAGTCTAGATTATGCTAATGACAGTACAGTCATGTAAATTTATTAAAAATCATCAAGCTATATATTTTAAATTGCTGAATTTGGTAATTACTGTTAGGTAAATTGTATCTCAGCATTATTAGAAACTTAAAGGAAGAAAATATTATTTGTGATTAAAGAACTTGGAAAATATTTTTCATAACTGATATAATCCAAGCTGAATCTTAAAGAATGAAGAGAGTTTGGATCAGAAGCTTGTCTGATGTCTAAAAGACCAAAATACAAAGCATTTCCTAGAACTAGTTCAGACTATTTCAGCCCTGATTCTATGGCCTCATTTTTACAAGTGGCCATATGGCCATGACACTTCTGAAAAGTTCTGGCCAGTCCCTACTGGAAATCTTAAAACAGCATGTGTTTGTTGGGGGTTTTATTTGTTTGCTTCCTCCCCCTCCTCCCGTACTTGCTTCCATTCTGAGCTAGTGAGGAAAGTGTGATGGAAAAGGGTGTATAGTGAGAGAGTATGTTGTAACGGTCAGTGAATCCACTACCATAACAACTACTGATAGTCATTTCCCTCTATAGCTTCAAATTAGTAATGCATTCTTCATTTCCTTTGAGCCCCACAATAAACCTTTATATTTCCCATGAGAAAACTAAGATTATGGGAGAACCCACCACCTAAAATGCTAAAGCCATGCTGAAGGAAAAGTCAAACTATTCTCACCTGTTAAGAATAAGATGACAAAATATGGTACCTGATCTTTGAACAGTCACAGATCTGCTAACTAAATTGAAAAGTCATCCATGAATTAAAAATTCATGTCACACTCATAAAAAAAAACCAGATGAAGTAATACCATTAATAATAGAAAAACAGAGGGGTTTGGGGTTTTTTTTTCCTCTGATGAGTTGATGAGACCCTACTACTGACAAGAATAACCCATATTTGAAGTAATATTTATTGAGAGTAAAATCCATAGGAAATTTAGTTTCTATGTGAATAAACTTTTTGTTTTTAAACAATATAAAAATTTAAATTGTTTCTTTTCAAACCAGATAACTTATCAGATTATATAATTAAGCAGATATGCAGAATCTTAATTTTGAATTTAAAGTGTGATTACTGTCCAGTTAAAATTTTAGATGATTTTCTTGATGTTCATCAGAGAAGATGATTTATTGCCTTCTTGATTTTGACCCCATCTGACCAACTGCTCAGAATTTTTTCCATGTGAACTATGTTTTGTAGCATTTCTAAGAGAAAGAACAGGAATGAGCCTAGTGAGAAGAAAAACAGTAGTTTTGTGAGAATGGATTAGTGTTCACCTACAATCAAATATCCTTATTTTAATATTTTGAATCCTAATATTGTTATTTAAGAACCTATACTTGGCATGGGTGTGGTTTGATTTGTTTCAGTCCTCCCTTCTATGAAATGCAGAAGGAAAGAGCTGTTTGTTGTTTGCATTTACTTATATTCTCACTAACTAGCTGTCCACATCTGGCTTCCATTGGAGAGCCCCTGACATCGCAGGGAACGGTGATCAAAATTCCACACTCTAGCTTCAAGCTGGGGGCTCGTAGCTACTGCAGCATTGAAAGGGAATCTTTTTGTGGCTTCTTTAAAATGAGCATGGTGATGGGATGCTTTAGGGGAAGAACACCTCTCAAATCACATGACCACTGCTGTGCTTCCGTGTGTACTGCTTCCTTCATAACAGCTTGGCACTACATTCTTTCCCTGTATTGTTAGTGGACCCTTTTTGTATGTATGAGTGGGCTGGGGGCTGGGGACATAAATGAGTAGTTATAGATTATGCATGCATCTTTCACCATTAGAGTGATGTGCCTTCCCTTATGTATCACAAATTATAATCCTATTTAACTTCTGTGTCCTGAGTGATTGAGCTGTTTCTGTTTCTGCCTTATTGGTGTGAGATTTGTATGTTATTGATATGTTTTGACATTTACACCTTCAGTTGTTCATGTTACATTAAATGTAAGTTAAAATTTTCTCCCAAAAGAGTTAGCTTTTCATGTTGGACTGGAAGAGTCTTCATTTCTGTGTAGCATTTCATGTTATTATAACCTATGGCTTTCAATTGTACCTTCTATAATGAAGAGATGACTTTAAACACTGTGCTATTCTTGTTATGACCTAAGCATAAGGTAAGTAATTTATCTGTCTCTAAAGATTGTGGCTGCTTGTTAAAATTTTCTCAGCTTTTTTAAAAGACATTTTTTTTGCTCCTTACCATTTATTATGTGTTGTCCTTCTTTTGTTTCTGTTTTACATCTTTTTATTAATAAGCAATGTGATCTTAAGCAAAAATTCTATTTCACATATAAACCCATGTCTAAATAAATTTTTAATGTCTCATATCTTGATTAGTAAGTGAATACCTGTATTTCTGTTAAGTCTCATTTTTTTTCATTTCCTCCATTTACTTTAATTAAATACACTGTTCTTACATTGTTTTGATTCCTGTGGAAGGGAGAATCAGTTGTCTATGCTGTAAAATCAGTCAGCTGTTAATTGCAATAAAATAACATGGTACAACAGAATAAAATAATGAGGACTCTAATAGTATAGCTTTCATTTAACCTTTCATTTTCTTCCCTTAGAAATTTAATGTAATGCCATAATCTCAGATTAATTTTTCACATCCTCTTTTTTCCCTGTTGTTTAAACAAGTAACAAAATAAAATGAAATAAAATTTGATACTCTTAACTTATCTTTAAAATTAAATTCCATTATATTGTTATATAAATGCCTTTATTTAAGATTTTATAAAAAATAAATACTATAAATATGACATTATGTAGCATAGAATCTTTCCATACATACACTAACAGTAAAGTTTTAAAATTACTTTCCCCAGTTATACACATTCAAAATCACTAAATAAAGTCTTATTAAGCACTGGTTTTAAAATTATTTCTCTCAAATCTGGTTCAACAGCCAATGTAACATAAATGGGAAACATTAATTACACTACTTTTGGCAATTTGCACACCTTGATAAAGGGTCCTATTTGAGAGAACTGAATTATTTTCGTTCTCCAAATGTCTCCTCTAGATCTGTTTTGAAATATGTGGTTCCAAACTGAGGTATAAAAAACCAATGTGGGTTTCTTTATCCGTATTATAAACAATTCTGGGGGTGTTGGTAAGCTTTAAGCCATTTTGAGAAGCAGGAAGGATATTTTTGTTTGCTTTTGGTTTGTTAGAAAATACCCGGGAGTGCTTTACTACCATTCCCATTATATATATACATGATCAAATGTATATAATAGACACTGTGTAAATTTGTTGGAACATTTTATGAGACGATTTGAACTACTCATCTGAACTGCACTGTTCATTGTAAATTTCTTGTTTCTATCCATACACTAGCTCCACTCTAGATTGGAAGGGCTTAAAGATGAACTCTGGAGGAATAGAGGCTACGACTTAAGAGTAACTATTACTGACCCAAGGAGCTACTTTCCACTCGCAAACATAGCTTTGCGCGATGGGTTTGGCTCCTTCACATCTTGTTTCACATCTTGTTGAAGACTTTCTTGACTTCCATTTGACTTCTTTGAGCTGTTTTGTCTTTGAACATTTCCTCTTTCTTTTCCTTCTTTCTCCCAGATTTCTTCCCATGCTTTTAGCGTTCTCTTGTGTTCTTTGAGTCACTTTTTCAAATGTAGTATCTCTCTTTATTAAGCTTGTCTATTAATTTGTCTGTTGGTGTGTGTTTCTTTTCTCCGTTAAGACTGTAGTGGTAGAGTTACACTTGTTTTCATTTCATGGTATGCAAATTGCTTATTTATTTTGCAAAAAGTTCATTAGTTACACTTATCTTCTTGAATATGAATTTTCAATAAGAAATAGTAGAACATTCTTCATTTATACATTGTCTCCCTTTGTAAGCCCATGCTTTCTTTTTTATCCTCCAGATTTAATTCCTCAGTGTCTCTGTCTCTGTCTCTGTCTCTGTCTCTCTCTCTCTCTCTCTCTCTCTCTCTCTCTCTCTCTCTCTCTCTCTCTCTCTCTCTCTCTGCTTTTTCTTTTCTTTGTTCTCATGTTTTCTTCCATGTCTTATTTTATTTAAGTCACTAATTTCTTTCTCATTTGGTCCAGAATTGTTCTTCAATAAGACTTGTAAATAAAAGAATAAAAGAATGTTTTATTCTGGGTTAAAGTCATTATAGTATACCTAAAACTACTTAAGCAATCTGGGCAAAAAGAGAATAACTAACATTTGTAATTGTTTGTTTTGCTCTGTGTGTGTGTGTGTGTGTGTGTGTGTGTGTGTGTGTGTGTTTAGATTTATTTGCTTTGGTTTTTGCTGTTTGTTTGCCCTTGTCTGCTCATGGCATTTTTATTATTATTTCTTTTAACATTAACAGTTTATTTTTTCAGGGAAGGACAGCCATAACCTACCCTAAGTTACAACATTCCTTTCATAAACTGTTTCATATATTATTAGACTGTGTTAAGCTACAGAAAGTTCTTTGTTGTGTATATATCCATTTGGGGCAAGCTGCTGTGGAGTGGGAGGAAGAGGTGTGGACCTTGAATGAAGTTATATCTGAAATTAATAACTACCATTCAGCATGACCATTGAATACAGCCATTTGGCAAACTTCAAAAGAAATATGCCTCTTTAACCTAAATTTTTCAATAAAGCATAAAGAGCCCCTAGTTGACAAATTATATGCATACTTAAAACTGGTTAATAAAGGGGTCAAATTTAACTCATTTCCAGTAGAAACATCTTTCATAGCCAGTATTATAAAACATTAGTATAATCAGCATTACAAAAGTTACTACCATCAAAGGTAAATGTTATAGATGAGAACTTTTTTCTCCTTGTTATCGTATATATAATAAAAATCACTACAATAGAATTTTAATTTTACTTGGGTTTCATTATTATTCTAGTCAAGACATACACAAAATACCTTTAGAGTAAGGATTAATATTCACAAATGAATATACAGTATTGAATTTTTTCCATATATAGTCATCCTTCAATATCTGTAACAAGTTCATTTCAAGACCTCCATAGATACCAAATCCCAACGATATTCAAGTCTCAAGTAATAAAATGGCATATATTGCTTATATTCGGCCTCAGTACATCCAATCATATACTTTACTTTATATTGTCTCTAGCTTAATAGGCAAGCGCTCTACCATTGAGCCATATCTGCAACCCTCACCTCTATTTTATAATCTAATGCAATATGAATGCTATGTAAATAATTGCTATATTGTATTCCATAAAGAATAATGACAAGGAACTAAAGATCACATGTGCAGTACATATATAGGTGATAGTGCTGGTGTTTTGTGTTGTTGGTTTTCTTCTCCTCCTCCTTTTTTTTTTCCTTTTCTTTTCTGATCCACAGTGTGTTGAATCTGCAGATATGAAAACCACAGATATGGAGGGCCACCTGGACTGATCTCAAATACACATAAATTGCTTTGGGTATTATCTTTGTCCAATTTATAATATTGTACCTGAAATATTTTTCTGGAACTCATTCTTTTTTTAAGTAAAAGTGAATTAAATATATCTGAAAAATGTAATAGACTTTTACTAACATGTTGTGAGTCAAGATAAATAAAACCTTTTCTCCTAAACCTCAGGAGCTTGCCCATTAAGCATACTTATCTGGCAGTCCGTGTTATAAGCCCTAAATTACTGAGTGTGTGCTCTTTCTGCAGGTCCAGTCCAGGTGCAGCAGCAAGGAGAACATTCTCAGAGCCAGTAAGTAGTCACCGTTTCAGGTAGGCTACCAAACTATATACATTGTGGCTCAGCAGAATAGAGAGCTAGGAATGGCATTTTGATGACAAAAATGAAGATGAGCAATAATAAAAGTTTATATCAAGAATGAAGTTTACAAAATCTACCATCTGAAATTTTTCTTAATATCAATATAAATAAATGTTTCCCTGAATCTAATTATTTTTGCAAACTGAATGGAATTTGATGCATTCGACTTAGGGTAAAAGTGAGCTCCTCTACGACCTTAGGGTGCGAAGCCTGCCCCTTTTTATGGTCTCATTGCCAAAGGTGAATTAATGACAGATTACATGAAAATAACTCTAATATAATGATTTAATGACAGATTACATGAAAATAACTCTAATATAAATCCATGAAAGCAGGAAATGGAGAAGTAGAGAGAAAGGAGGAGAAGGAAGCTGGGCATGATTGATGGTAGTCCCAGCAATTAAAGATAAAGCAGGAAGATCCTAAGTTTTGGACCAGTCTGTGCTGCATCATGAGACCATGTCTCAAAAGAGGGGTGAGGTGTAGGTAATAAACAATAATTTTGTAAATAAAAAATTTCAAAAGATTTTACCTTCACAAGCAAAATGTTATAGAACATTGTTCCCTGATCCATGAATAAAAAATCCTTAATGCTTTCATTTGGTTTGAGCACTACAATACTAACTTGGAAGCCACTGAACTTTGTATATTCATTTTCTTGTTTGATAAAAATGAAACTGTGGGCTGGGCGGTGGTGGCGCACGCCTTTAATCCCAGCACTCGGGAGGCAGAGCCAGGCGGATCTCTGTGAGTTCGAGGCCAGCCTGGTCTCCAAAGCGAGTTCCAGGAAAGGCGCAAAGCTACACAGAGAAACCCTGTCTCGAAAAACCAAAAAAAAAAAAAAAAAAAAAAAACTTGGTTTAACCACAGAAAGCCCTAGATAGACACAGCAAATAAAAAATGATGATAATGATCAAGAATAGAGGCCGGGCGGTGGTGGCGCACGCCTTTAGTCCCAGCACTCGGGAGGCAGAGCCAGGCGGATCTCTGTGAGTTCAAGGCCAGCCTGGGCTACCAAGTGAGTTCCAGGAAAGGCGCAAAGCTACACAGAGAAACCCTGTGTTGAAAAACCCAAAAAAAAAAAAAAAAAAAATGAAACTGTGAATAGTTGTTTTTTTTTTTTTTATACTAGTATCTTTAAAGTGAAATCCTATTGAAATATTTCCCATTAAAGCTTTGGGATCCAAGCCAGGCATGATGGTGCACAACTTTAATCCCAGCACTTGGGAGGCAGAGGCAGGTGGATCTTTGTTAGTTCTAGGCCAGCCTGGTCTACAAAGTAAGTTCCAGGACAACCAGGGCTATTAAAAAGAAAATACATGTCTCCGGAGGAAAAAAACAAAAAACGTTGGAATCTCCCGGAGAAAAATGCTGTATAAATGCTAATTGTTGTGTTATTTTTCTGTCTCTTAATAATTTAATGACATCACGCAATCTTCTTCCTAATGGTTTTCAGTAGATATACAGGTTGACCAGAATTAAATAGGTCTACTAGACACCCACACTAATGGGAGTTTTAGTAAATGAGATGGTTTATACTCTAGTAGAATGTCAGTGTTATTTAACAACCAAAGCATACCTGGGGGGCTGGAGAGACAGTTCAGTGGGGGAGGGGGAGCACGTCATAACCATGTGCACAGCTGTACTTAGCACTGTCGGAAATGGAGACTAGAGGATTGCTGGAGCTTGCATAAGCACCCACGCAGGCTAGCCAAAAGGTGAGGGGAAGACAAACTCCAGGTTCAAAAAAAGAACCTGTCTCAAGGGAATAAGCTAGAGAGAGTGATAAAGCAAGACACCCAATGTCTACCAATGGCCTCTGCACACACATATATCCCCACCGCCTTACACAAAGCCATAATTGTTCACCAGTAATGCTAGCACTAGGGAAGCTGAGGCAGCAGAATGGAGAGTTCAAAATCAACTCAGAGTATAGAATTTGAAAAAAAAATGGAGGGGGCATATTTGAGAATATCAAATATGTTAGTGTGTGTATGTATATGTGTGTGTGTTTATTTTATATAAATATTCCCTGTTTCTGTGTTATGAGTCTGTTAACTTCGCTCAAAACCCTTGAGGATTTGTTTGATCATGATCTTTAGATAATGCTATAAAAAATAAATGCAGAGCTGGATTGTAGCTCAGTGGTAGAATGCTTCTCTAGTGATCATGAAGCCCCAGGTTCGATCTCCAGCACTGCAAAATGAATTAATTAATAAATTTAAACAAGCGGCTGGAGAGATGGCTCAGAAGAACACTGGTTGCTCTTCCAGTGGTCCCAGCACCCACACGGCAACTCACAATTCTCTGTAATTCTAGTTCCATGGGATCTGACACATTCACACAGACAAATGTACACATAAAATGAAAAATATAATTAAAAAAGAAAAACAAAAAAATTGTAAATAAAAATATTAAAATGTAAACAGACATGTGTAGATTTCATAACCTTCACAACTTTCCACAATCTGTGACTCAGAGAGAGCCTTTTAAGTAATGAGGTGTAAAATCTTATAAACACTAAGACCTGAGTTTGAGAAACCTGTGGGTCAGACACGATAGTTGAGTGTTCACTAAAATAAAGCAAGATAGACAAATGAACTTTAAAATTACATTTTATGATCTATAGTGCATAATTTCCACTAATTTCTAGTCCTGAAATTATAGGCCACTGGGAGTAATTATGGTGATTAGAAACAAACAACAACAAAAAAAAAACCAGTTACTTTTTTAGAACAAATTCCCTTAACTTTGTTTTCTATCTACCACAGAATTTAGTGTTACATTTCAGTTACTGTCTTACTATATTTGTGCTCATAATCAGTCTAGACAGACATCATGGTAGCCCAAGTGTTCTTTATTGTTTTCTTTGGATAAAATACTCATATAGATGGGACTTGTGCCTCTTCAGGTCCAGATGGCGCCCATGCAACATCATAACTTCATAGTTTTGTAATTTCTGTAAGCTTATGTTCTTTCTTCATAATACCATGCTGATAACTCGAGTTCATACCCATGACCTCACCCAAAATTCAGCACTCCGTTCTTTCTCCAGACTCAATTTTTCATTATGAGAGGTGTGTGTGAGTGTGTGTGTGTGTGTGTGTGTGTGTGTGTGTGCGTGCATGCATACGTGCATGTGTGTAGTGGGTAGCCATTCCAGCTTTGATCTGGAAGTTCCAACCCCCATTGAGACTTCGGCAACTGTCACGCCTACAAGGCGGGGCCAAGGGAGGCGCCTGGGGGTTGGAACTTCCAGATCAAAGCTAGAATGGCTACCCACTACACATGTGTGTGAACATAAATACCATGGCACAGGTGTGGCAGTCAGAAGACAACTCTCGGGATTTGGTTCCCTTGTTCCATCATGTCAATCCCAAGGATCAAACTCAGGTCATCAGTCTTGGCAGCAAGTGCTTTACCCACTGGGCCATCTTTATGGCCTGTTTCTCTGAACTTAGCTACAATATATTCCCATTCCTTATTTAAACAGTTCTTATCTCCCTCATCATCTTATTCACCATGTAGTACCACAGTGCAGCTATATAGAAGCTATTAATGGTTACTCACTCTCTCAATACTAAATACTGCTCTGTTCCTTTTACATCTTTCTCCATACATAAACAACCTACCATGTGTCATAAACCATCTACCATTTGTTAGGATTCTTTTGTGACTCTTCTGAGTTTCCCTTAGTCAGGGTGACTAATCCTTCTTGTATACCCCTAATCAGTCATTAATCAAGAAAATGTCCCTGTAGACTTTCCTACAGCCCAATCTGATGGCATTTTCTCAGTGAGGTTCCCTCTTCCCAGATGATTCCACCTTGTGTCAAGCTTGAAAAAAACTGACACAGCAGCTTTCCTAATCCATTTGTTCTGCTATAATAAAATACCTATTAGGTCACAGGCACACACACACACACAAGCACACTGAAGTCTCACTCTCCCCTTCATGTATTGCTAAAAGAGCTAACAAGCAGCCTGGTGTGACAGAGTCACAAAGGGCTAAACCCTCACCCTCCCCTGGTCACTCTCTACCCCATTCATATACAACCTAAGCCTGCTGTCTTGTGGTATGGGACTTCCCCTCTCTCTCAGAAACTGTTAAGACATCTCAATCTGTCTGACACACGGAAACCTCTTACCTGAGAAGCCCACCTCACTGTGCGATCTTGTCTTAGGTGTTAATAACTCGCTGATAAAAACTCCCACCTGAAGGAAAATTTATCTCAGCCTCTCTCAAACCTAACCTCCTCTCACCTCCCTCCCTAAAAATCCAACAACCAAAGACTGGATAATTTACAAAAAGAAAAATTGTATTTATTACATTTTAGGAAATGGGAAAATCCAAGATCAAGTTATAGGCAAATTTGGTGTCTAATGAGTGCCTGGCCTCTGCTTCCAACATACCATTGTGAACACACTGCTTTCACTGTTACCTCATGTGGCAGTACTCACCTCATATGGGTAGCACTGATCCTAGGTTTCTTGAGCATGAATACCTCATTGCTTATTTACCTCCAAAAATACCCCCCACCTGGTTAATACTGTTACATTGGTAATTAAATTTCAGTGTGAATTGTACAGAAGACACAAACATAAAAATCAAAGCCATGGTGATGAATAATTCTTGTAAAAATTTTGCAACATCCATTTAAGGTTGTTTACTACTATTAAATAGCCAACATTACAAATTAATTAATCCATATTTCTCCTGGGTTATCTTTCCTGTCTCTGGAGCTAATCATAGACATTCTGTGATAGCAGGTTTGAACTGCTCTTGAACCAAATATTTAGTCTGTTGGGATATAAGGCTCTAATTTTAGTGAGTGCTACCTATCTGATGTTTCCTTTCGCATCCTTAGTACCTTCTTTTGTTTGGCTCCCTTTGTAATATCCACTTCTTTAGGAAGCACCAGTGCACTTAAA